GGGTCAACCATATACTCAGGCATCAGATATTTATAGTCTTGGAGTTATCGCGACAGAAATTTCGACCGGACAAAGAGAATTCTATTTGATGATTATCTTGGATCAAGAATTATCAATGGATCAAGACCTAAATGCCTAGGACCAGATTGTTATGTTGAATTAGCTATGAAATGTATGGATAAAGAACTTGATAAACGACCTACTGCTACAGAAATTATTGAAATAACCACTCAATGTTTAGTTAAAATGGACCAGGATGACGATAATGGAATCAAAAAACAAATTTTGGAAGCTAACAAGATTAAACCAGAACCGAAAAATCAAATTCATGCACAAGACGTATATACAAGCAAGATTTATGACACGAATAAATTTTCAGAATATATTAGTAACCCTATGAGTAAATTCTCAAATTTATATTTAAATTAAATATATATGTATGTAATATGACTTAAGAAAGCACGACTATAGTAAATACTTAATCATCAAATATTTTTACAATATCCAATCCTCGTTATATTACTGATATATATGTTTTTTTATTCACTTAGTTTATAAATATTGGATCATTATTCTTTGATCTGTATTTTGGTGGTTTGTTATTGAGTGCTAAGAATCTTTTATTTTTATTTGTTTTTATTATTTATTTATTTTTGAAATACTGTTTTAAAAACCTCACTTGACATTTTAAGTTTATAAAATATAAATTTTAAATTCAAAAATGAAATAGGAATACAATATGCTAAACAATTTAGTAAACTAAATTATTTTAAGAAAACCGTTTTAAATTTAACCTAAATTAATTATTGAAAACTTATGATATCTACGTACTTAATTATCGACCAAAAGTACGCTAATAAGCTATTTTTTTTTGAATATTGGCATCCGAATCCACCCCAATCAGCTACCAACCAGTATTAAAACACCAGAGTATTTCAAGAAAAGTAAATTACCTTTTCTATAATGATTAAGGTAAATCTAGAGGTTATTTATTCGGAAAAATCAAAACTTAGTTGTAGACTTTGCCAACAAATATTTGAAAAGGAGAAATAGAAGTAAGCTGATAAATGAATTCAGAGGATTAAATTTATACTGTAAAAGGTACAAATGAAATTAAATATGCAATTTAAGGGGTTTATTCTTTATAGCGTTTGAAGGCTCGATATACACGTTCAAATAGTCAATAAATTTATTTACATGATTAGGTACCGTAATCTCGATAATGTCTGTAATTCGAATACATTTGCTGCAATGTAGTTTTGAAGCCTTTTTTATAAATCCATCTATTTATGTTCTCATGAAGTTATTTGAATTTTCAATTATTTTCGGCAATTTCTCAGCATATTCAACCAAAGGGCGCGTTCTCAAATGTCTCAGTTAATGGTTAAAATATGTCGAAAATGTGTCGGGAATTAAATTTTAATTAATGGAAATTATCGAGCTTATCATTAAGAGTAGTTTATTATATGAAAGAAAACTTTATATATAATAGTAAAAAAAATGAACAGATTGAACAGTGAGTTTACCATTTTAGTTAAAAAAAAACTTTTTGCCAGTACCACCTTTTTTTTATCAAAACTTTATTAATTTTAAAGTTAATAAAGTATTGCTCAAGTATTTTTATCTTTTTATTTTGGATTTTCAATGTCGATGTAAAATTTTCGATAAACTATTTACAATCCTCTTAAGCAGTGATTGAGATCTTTATCATTGCAATTGAGCATCACTACAAGTGTTAGAAAATTACAGTAATAGGGGTTTCAAGTTAAAACGCGGAAATCTAAATTTAATTGAAATTGATGACGCATTTATTTTGAAAATAAGTGCTCCAGCAATCTGATCTTATCTTCATTTTGACGAATTATTTATTTTTTTTACGAAGTATTATAAAAATTTTCAGATTTCATGAAATGGGATCTCTAAACACTCCCATTTCATTTTCCAATTTTAAAATCTTGAAAAACAAATAATATTTTTCAAACTCTCATTTAATTTCAAAATGTGCCACTTATTTGTCAACTTTGAAACCCTTAATAGTAATATTTGAGCATATCTCAATAATATCGCCATTCAATTATTAACTTTCATCCAAAAATTTTATGAAAATTGCCAAAATTACGTAATACTTGTGCGCTATTTTCAAAATCGCATCGAGGTTGATACTTGTGAGCACCCAAATTCTCATGTACAAAAGTTTGATTATTAGAATTATATGGTAATTTTATTAATTAGATATGATTGGTTTTTATTTATTTATTCCTTTGTATTTTTAAACATTTAGGATGTTCTCAAGCACCTAAGTCAATCGATCGAAAATAAACTTTTAAATGGTCGGAAGTCAAAAAAAAAAGATCAAATGAGTTGTCACTTCACTGAAAAAATTCTGGAGGTGCGGAACATCTTTTTCCAGAGTTCACGCTGTTTGGCTAAATAAACCAGTTGTTTTATTTATTAATTTTTTATTTTATACTATAATCAAAAAATTACATATTTTTTTTAGCAATGAAATACTTGGATTATCAAATGACTAAACAAATGGTCCTCACAAATTGCCGTTATTTATTGGACTACTATTATGGTTAACATTAGTTGTATTCTCATTACGTGGAGCAATAATGAAGGAATTTTAATTCCTGATTATCTAAGTATAAATACAATACATTCGTAATTACTGAATTACCTTAACTGTAACCAACGTTGTGGAAGCTATTATAAGACATTATAAAAGTAATAGTAATCAATTAAGTGGTCTTGAATTATCAAAGTATATCAAATTAGGAATTGAAAGAGTATTTTAGAAATAGACCAAAGTAGCTTGATATAGTATAGATATGGTTAGTTATAATATAATTGTTATAATATTACCATATTTATTAGCAACTATGGGTTTTGCATTATATTATTTAGTCAATGCTGAAGTTATATTACTGTATTATGAGGTCAACATAAAATTTTAATAATGCAATTATAATAGATCCAAAATGTAGAAATTACTTTATTAAGTGAATTAGATTCTTGTGCTCATTAGAAGTTGTACTGAATGTGGAGTAAGTTATCCAAATTACGTAATAATTTTAAGAAAAATACAAATACAAACATTATGGGTTATAATATATGAATGAAGGGTTAGTATCATGTCACGATTAAACAATACAATGTGGAATGGAAATTTTAATTTACATACAATTTTAGTTAATTGTGATCCTGCACATTAACTAATGTTACTTGTTCTAACAGTCTGTATAAATGTAAATGGTGATATAGAAACTCTTTCAAATCTAATCACACCACTTGGAGATGGCGTTAGTTACATTAATACTATAATTCCTACTGGAGTGTAAAACTTATTGATACTAACACAACTTGTGCGGGTTTATAGAAATGCAAAATGAATACACACTGCACTTCAAGACGCTTCATTTAATAGGAGTAGTATGTTAGTTGTACAAGAGGCAGAGCACCAATTAAAACTTGGTATTAGTGGTATGGTAGCAAGTTTTGCTGTAGGTAACGTTGATCAAAGCCTTTGAGAAATATCTGTTGCTGATAATATTACAGTAATACAAATTGCAATAGTGGCATTAATTGTGTGAAATTGCATTAAAAATAGCTGGGTGGATATTATTGAATGCTGGTAAACATACGGAGGGAATTAATTCGAATTGACATCCAGTTGTTGTGCAAATCGTGCTTGCTGAAATGATAACTATTACTTATAGGAATGTTTATGACGTTATAAGAGCACCTTCTTGGGATCATGTTTTAAAAAGAATTGGATTTCAGCAATAGTTTCTCAGCCAATATTAAGCTGGCATTGGACATAGGGATGGTCATTTTGGCTTTTTTAATGGTATTGTTCTATCAGCTGACTTTATTCATATAGCTATTATGTAAGCATCTTGTTTTAAATGTTATAAACAAAATGGTCAAGATGACAAGAGAGCTGACAGAAAAGAGCTCATATATAATTTTACCCTCCTATACGCCTCATTATCCCTCTTACCTCCTTTATCCCCACTCTTGGAGGTAAAAGAGGTAGAGGGTGTAAAAGTATATATGGTCTCCTTTCTGTCAGCTTCTTAAGTAAATTTTAAAATATAAATTATTACTTTTTCACTATACAATGTAATTATTGACCATATAAATCAGATAACAATAAGCACTCATGATAATTATTCTTTTTACTTAATTCTTTTAATTATTTTTGCCTAATATAAAAAATAAGGTTCACTATTCACATAGAACTTCCTTCTGGTTAATTATAGTTTTGAAGATATAATTCTGAATGACTAATTTATTTTAAAATTATCTAACTAGACATACATGACATTTATTATATCATTTTTATTATAAAATAGCTTTTAATTTAAATGAATCTCTCAAGACCATAGAAATATACATTTTATAGAGGCGTTGTTACTCAATCTCCCGATGCCCACTTTTTCGAAGCACCATTCTCTAATCATAATATTAATAACCTTACTTACTGTAAAGACATAATTCCAACAGTCTATTGCGTTGATTAAAGTTTCATTAAATGAATTTTTCCGATAAACCCAATTTTCCAACAACCTGATTACTCTCATGATGTTCGGAAAATGACAGTTGGAAAAAATGACTCATCGAAAAAATTTGTCATTGATTAAGTGATATTTCGTGAAAATTGAAAATTAATCAGTAACCTAGTTTGATTTTGTTACACTAAAATACAAATATAAAATTTTTATAATTGCTTTTTGATACGACAATATAGAACAATCAAAAACGTATCTTACTTTTTTGTTACTTTTGTGTTACTCTAATTAAACATTAAATGTCCTCTGCTACGTTCCAGAAAACTTAATATAAATATAAAAAATGGCTTATCTTAATTGCACTAACTATTATGATCATCACCATAATAAATATTTGTTCTGTATGTATAAACGTACGTACGTAAAGAACTGACATAGAAGTATTATAACACAACAAATCACATGAAAATGCAATCCAATCAGACTCATGGATTCAGATACACCCTTTCACTTGCCATATAACCATGCACTTCATTGCACTCCGTTCCTGGTATGATTGGGGAAAAGGAGGATTGGCGACTTATATTGGCAAATTGGTTTGATAGAATTAATGGTAGATCTAAAAATGTTGCACTTAAAGTGAATTGAGATTCAAACAAAATTATGCAAGAATTTGTTCAAGAGCTGAAGAGTTATTGTGAAATTAGTTACAAGAGTTCTTCGTTCTTGGATTGTATTGGAGTATCAAGAAATAATTATGTTGGTTATATTATAGCTATGAAGTTTGCACCAAAGGGCTCGTTTCGACAAAATTTTGAACAAGTATCATACTTATAATGGAAAGATAAATTTTATACCCTGGTCACTATATCAAGATCGCAGGGCATAAATCAGTTATGTCCTGGGCACTATGTGATAAGCGGGACTTTCAGCCCCGCTTATACCCAACTGCCCAGGAAATAACTATTACATAGCAATACGATCTTCCTATGGCTGGCTTTGATTGGATGATCACAACAAAAACACATCCCGTGAAATACGAGTTTCTTCTATGCATAGCTACCATGTGATTATCAGTGATTATCAAAGTAGACAATTGATAAACCAAAAGATGACGGCTAATTAATTTATATATAATATATTTAATAATTACTACCGCAAAGAAAGTTTTACTACGTATAAACTTATGAGTTTTCATATTTGAACGGACTTATGTCGACACTTCGGCAAGGATTAGTAACTTCCGCTGTAAATTTTCTTAAGGATCCAAATGTCCAAAATTCACCTCTAAAAAAGCGTGTAGCTTTTCTAGAATCTAAAGGCTTAACTTCCGAGGAAATCGAAGAGGCATTGAGGAAAGCCAAAGACGATGATATCTCTACCAAAGTATCCGATGTTCAACATAATCAGCCCAACGCCACTTCGAGTGGTCAACCTATGATTATACAGCCGCCTCCAGTTCCAAGAATGGACTGGAGAGATTATTTCATTGCTGCTGTTTTAGTTGGTGGTATTGGCTATGCGATCATTGCTGTCACTAAGGTTTGCTGTATTTATTTATTAATTTTTTTATACTCTTAATTTATTTGCTAATTGCTTCTCTTCTTTCTCAGAAATATATTACTCCTCTTTTGAGGTTACCAACTGCTGACGATCTTGAACGTGACAAGCAACTTCTTACTAATCAATTCACAACTGCTTCTGAAACATTAGACACTGTTAAAAATGACATTCAACTTGTTAAAAAAAGCATTGAAGAACAATCTTCTAAAGTTAGAGAGACGTTAGAGAGTTTGGATAAAATGTTGAAAAATTTAAAGGATCATGAAATGAAAAAAGAGGCTGAACTTAGAAATTTAAAAGATGATGTAGACACAATACGTGAATTGATTCCAAAAGTATACTTTTCATTATATGCCCTATATATATATACCTATTACTTTAACTATTTAACCTTAGTTTATCATTTTCAGTTACTTGAAAAGACAAAAGAGTCTCAATCTCAATCACTAAATGATTTACAGCAAGAACTCAAATCTTTAAAATCTCTTCTCGCAAATAGACGATCTCTTTCTACCGATATACTACCATCGTCGTCATCTCCAACTATTACTTCTAATGCAACTTCTCCTATCGTTCAATCTATTTCGTCACTTCCTGGAATTACCTCGGGTCGTCCAACAATTCCAACCTGGCAAATGGGTACTAACAATAGTGATTCTCCAGAATAAAAAAAAATTTTAAAGCTGTTTTTCAGGTTTAGCCCGTTGATTTTTCGATTTAAGCTGATCGATTTCTCATGATAATAATTCGCGCATAAACTTTTGATTATTACAAAAAAGTTTTTTTTGTATATATTGAATCATACTTCTCGTGTATCATATACTTTATATCATTAGATATAGTGCGTAAGATTTAGATCAACGAGCATTAAGGTTTTGACAGTGCACCTGAATACAGCGTATTCTATTAATGAAACCTCCACGGACAAAGGCTATTGCCGTACAGATCAAATTGGTAGATTTGTACAACATACATTAGTTATGTAAAATTGTACATTAAACATTTTTATTAATAAATAATTTCTGTACACAAAACTTAAATTTGAAATACTGTAAATCTAAGATTTCAGATTTTATTTTATTAGTTTTATATAATTGTAATTAAATTACTGTTAATATATTTTATTTTTATACTGTATATTAATTATTATTCACATTAAAGTGATACAAATTTTTAATGATCTCGGGTTTTTATAATTAAATTTTAATGATTTTTAACAATCGCACCTGTGAACCACAATAATGAGCTGTATAATTTATTAAAACAAAAATTAAATTTTGATTAAGATTAGGGTTAAAGTTAAAAGTTAGGATAGGCAAGGAATTTTTTTTGTTAGATAGGGCTCTTGAATACTGCATAGCTATTAATTTAACCTCTGTGACCAAGGACCATTTCCGTACTATAAACTCGTACACCATACGTTAGTTTTATATAAAATCGTATATTAAACATTTTTATTAACAAATAATTTCAGTACACTGAACTTTACATAAAAAAATTTTTTTTCAAGGCATTATAAATCTAGATTTCAATGCTATTCTAGATTTTTTTCATTAAAGTTTAGTATCTATAACTTTAGATTTTATCCAAATGATTTCTTCTATTGATTGTTATATAGTCACTATTGAATTGCTAACAATGTTACATATTGGTTTAAAAAAAAAATAAAGCAATTTTACTTTCATTAGTTCAAATAAAAAATTAGTATACAGTAAGTTTATACTATATAATTGAAACTATATTAATAGGCTGCCAAATAAGCTAAATGTTTTTGTTAGTATTTTGTTAATATTCTGCCAATATTTAGCTAGCTAATTAACCAAATATTGACAGAACTTGCAAAATACTTGCAGAATATTTGCAGAAAGCCAACAATTACTAGTATATATTTAGCATATTTAGCAGCTCATTGATATAGTTTCAACTAGTATAAACCAATGCTAATTTTTTATTTAAACTAGTGAATTCTGTACATACTGTAGAAGTAAATATATATCACAAATTTGTATATAATAGTAAAAATCTGTATATAGAGATAAAAACTAGTTTACTGAATTCTATACTTGAAGCTTTTAGCCAAATTTTTATACTTATATCAATATTATTAAAACTAATTAAAAAAATATCATCTTAATAAACTGTAACTAGTAAAGATAAAAGTGGTTTTTTATAATAAAAAATTTAGTGAAGTAGATCTAATTATTAGCAGAGTTTATTTTTTATATTATCTATCTATTCTAGAATACTCTCTAATTCTAAGCAATGAGAACTTCTAATCCTGAATATTACTTAATATTCTAAGTATATTTTGTATTTATTATATTGATATTAGCACTCTTTTTTAAAACAAACCCAAAATATAGATGAGATTTTTTGAGTTATATGATTAATCAATCTTCAGTCTTATGTTGGAATCACATAACCATGTTGGCTCTTTTCTGTTATACAGATTAATGTAAAAAAAATAAATATACAAATCTTTTTTTTTAACCAATTTTCTTTTTTTTAATATTGCTGGTGTTGTCACCTCTTTTTATTATTGGTATCGTCTTCAGCTTTATCCTTGGTTTCTACTATAATTTTGTCATATCTTTGTTTTTTTTGTATTGCTATTTTATTTGTAGTGTTTCATTTTCTTTTTTTCTATAGTATCATCATTTCATTATTTTATTCATTCACTGTTTTATCTTTTCATCATTTTATTCTTTTATTGGTTTGTCAGTTTGTTATTTCATCATTTTGTCAGTTTGTTGTTAGTGCTTAAATTGTAGTACTGTAATTTAGAAATAGAGTTAGTGTTAGTTAATATGCAGATTTAAAAGTTAGAAATTAAATAAAAATTAGGCTAGGGTTAGTAGTATAGTTAATGACAAGTAAAGTAAGTTTGGTAGTATAGATAAGAGTTTGTATTAACAATAAGGTTAATGTTTAAAAGTTAGAGTTAGAGTATAGTTAGTAACAAGTTAAATTTAGCAGTATAGTTAAAGTAAGTGTTAGGGTTAGCGATAAAGTTAATAATTGTCCAAAGGACATTATAGAAGAGTCATAGTGATCTGCTTGTATATGTGTCCACAAATTAAAGGTTTTGATTAGTTGATTAATAAAAACAAATATTTGCTTTGAAAATACCTATTGTTAGACTGATCTGTGACAAGTCCTTCAGATCTTAAATAGCTTCTATTTACTTAGTATAGTTAAGTTCTGAAATATTTTATATATAATAGTATTTTTATACAATAAGGGAAGTGACAAAAATTAGATGATTTTTTAGGAGGGGGGGAGGTAAAAAAAGTTGAAATTATATATAAAGAACCTGACTATTTTTATATTAAAGAAGAGGGGAGGGGTAGGCTTCTAATAAAAAATAATCAGATGATTAATGACATAGCCCTAAACTCATTATATAAATAAATAAAATAAATTAAAACATATAAATAAAAGAAATAATATAGGTATAGTCTATAGCTATACGTAGTCATCAATGTATAATACAAGATATATACAATAATACATGTATATGTAATTGTGTAACATATATAAATATTATGATCGATTTAATTTTTTTCTTTAAAAAGCAAGGTAAGCTAACGCTCATAGTTACTTATGAATTAATTCATACCCTTATATTTAACTGAATCTCTACTATTTTATATAATGAAATGAGTATAAGCCACGCTTTTATTTTTTATTTTTTTTGCTGCTCTTGGTTAATATAACTGTGTGGCCAACAAAACAAAAATTACAAGATCGCAAAGATGCTAAAAATATTTTACTTACCAATTCAGTTCAAGTTTTATGACACAAAACAGAAAGTTATTTTTAATGCCACCTAATCTGTCTTCTACAATCATTTATAGTAAAGTACCAAATAATATATATATAACTTTAGTCGATTATTGAACCAGTTAATAATATGTCAAATATAGAATATTAACTAGCTATATCTCTAAAGTCAAATAATACAAAGCAAAGGCTTATTGACATTGCCTAATCAACTATATCCAAATTTTTACAATAAAACATCAAGTATTATATGATTTTGGCCTGTTTATTAGACTAGTGGTAGTGTAATAAGACATATTATATTTACTAATTCTGTTGTTAAGAAGGTTTAATGCTGCAAAACAAAGAGTCAACACCATTTAATTTACCACCAAATGATTATAATACAATAAATTATAATGAAATATCAGATAATATATGAGTTTAATTAATTTATTAAGCTAGTTAATAATATTAAAATGTGAATACTTACCAGCTCTTTTTAAAAAGGTCTAATAGCACAAAGCAACTATCTATATTCAATTTCACCCAAACTACCAGCTTCGTTTATAAATAATGAAACATTAAGTAATAAGAGGTTTTATTATGTAGTTTATTGAATTCCAATCATACATATTATATTACTGATTAATTTAACAATAAATAACACAAGATGAAGATTTGCTTTTATTACTGTCTGATCTGTCTCCAGTTGTATATAATCTGCAATCAGATAATAAGATAGCATATTAAGAGAAAACATTTTGCTTACCAATATTGTATTTTAATGAATAGCACATATTGAAGATTAACTCTTCATTTACTATAATCTACTACCAATTATATCTAGTGAACTATCATTAGGTAATATATAAACTTTAATAGTGTATTAGGCATTGAGAGTATTATACTTACCAATTCTATATACAACTAATAGAACAAAGTGAAAATTCACTCCTAGTTGTTTATAATGAAAAAATATTACATGTAACAACATATAATCAGCAAGCTAATATACCCAGACTTATAACAGAACAATTAATAAATATATTTGAGCAATCACCTTCTTCAATTAAGGATTCAGTATCTGGAATGCAATTTGAGTTATAGGAGCAGATTGAATTGTGTTTCTCAAAATTTTTCTAAAATCATTTATAGTCGGAATATTATAATGGAATATGAAGGCATTGCCAATATTATTGTGAATATCAGAATCAGTATAAAAGTAAGAAAAATGAAATTGTAGAAGTGCAATATAATACACGGTCTAAACATAGTGGCTGTTCTTGGTTTGTGAATGCTACTGAAAAGTAGCTTTATTGGTATTACATCAGTTTACTTAAAACATAATGATCATCCCAAAGAATCTCTTGCAAATAAATTTGCCATAACTTATCGAATATTAACTAAACCAATGCTAAAAAACATTGAATTCTGGACATTTAAAGAAAACATTAGTATGTATACTCAACAGCAACTTCTTATAGCAAAAATATGAGAATGTATTTTTTTTATCTAAAGATTTGACAAATGCTATCCAGAAGCTAAAATGAGAGCAGAATATTGAAAATGAAGCTTCGATTTTAATAAATCTTCTTCTTGAAAAAAAGACTAATAATTCAAGATGTGTCGTAAATTGGTGTGTTGATACAACAACAAATTCTTTGATAACTTTATTTTGGATAATATCTAAACAATATGATTTTTATATTAAGTACTAAGACATTGTTCAATATAATAATATATATTCTACAAATCAATTTCAAATAGCACTTAAACTTTTAGTTATTGTAGATAATAACAATTGATTACGAATTGTTGGGCAAGCATTAATAAACAATGAAACTTTTGAAAGTTTTAAGTGGGTATTTTCCTCTCTTATTTAAGCTATAAAAGTTCATTCTCTAGTTATTATAACAGACAATGATCTTGCTCTTGATACTGCTATTTTAAATACAATGCCAAGTGCCTACCACATGTATTGTATTTATTACATTGAACAGAATCTTAAAAAAAACTTAAAATTGAAATTAGGTGTACAATACAACGAATTTTCTAAAAGCTGGTATTGGATGAGAAATACACCATCTCAAGCTGAATTTAACTACCTTTGGGATTTACTTCTTAAGCAATATCCTGCTTCAACTTCATATTTTAATAGAGTGCTTGGTAATAATAAACAGCAGTGAGCACTTTTTTATACATCTCGAATTTTTATAGCTGGGATACAATCTACCCAAAGGGTTGAAGAGCAAAATGCGATAATAAAAAGAACTATTAATAGTTACATATCAATTATAAAGCTTACCAAAAAACTTGATAATCTAGTAAATGATGCATCTACTTTTATTCAGTATCAAAATTGGTTTTACTTATCGACAGAATCAACTCTTATACATGCGAGTCATAACTTTTCTCCTAAAATTAATAATTGGATAACTAAATATTTAACACCAAGTGCTCTTTTAATACAATGACAAAAAGTAGTACAAGCTATTTAGTATACTTTAAAACCTGTCAATAAGCATCAGATTTTTGAAATTAATTATAACATTGAACTATGTGATAATAGATTTGTAAAAGAGATTATTGATATTCCACTAATACTTGTAAAAGAGCTTATACTAATTGATCAGTTTGAAAATATTGTTGAAGTTTGGGAACTTGTTTATTATAGATATGCATATAAAAATTATATTGTTATTTTTAATAATAAATCAGTTCAATGTGGCTTCATATGTTGGCATTTTTTTTGTCTCTTAAAATATTCAACACATGTACAGTTTTATATTATGTTTATACCAAAACATTGATACAAGGATAAAAAGCAACTTGAAAATAATTCAGTTCTTTGGTAGCAACTATTTACTGATAGGCTTAAAGATCAAGAGCAGTCTGAAATAAGTAATAACAATAATATACACTTTACAACACATTACAAAATTCCTTATAAGTCAGTTTATAAAACTTTAAATCAAAGAAAAGAATATATTACTGCTAATAATCTTTCTAAAAAAGCTATTCAATTGGGGCTAGATTCTGGTTTTGTGGCTATTCAAAAGTTAAATACTTTTATAGATAGATTTATAAAAAAACATAGTTTAAAGTGTACAAATAGCCAAGTGTTAGAGCTAAAATGTAAAAAAATGAAATTATCTATTGAATTATATAATTCTGAGTCAAATGTTGATAATAGTTCTGATTCAAGTGATGAGACATATTTAAATAGTGACATCGAAAATATAGATTCATCCTTGATTTAAAATCTAATTATTCATTCTAAAAAAGATACACCTCGCAAAACTAGATTTAAAGGATCTCAAAAACCAGAAAACCAACAGAATGCCAACAGTGTTATAAGTCTGGGTATAATAAGGCAGGTTGTGAAAAATAGCACAAAAAAAATCAAATTGTGTATCCTTTTTAAAATGTTCAAAATATCGTGTTAAATGCAATCATTATCAATATTATATACTTTAGATTAGTTGTTTCAGTTATGTATAATCTATAGATTCATACTACTATATTGATTTATATGCTTTATTATAGTGGAATTTTCTTTTATCAGAGTAATCAGTTTATAACTAATTAAAATCATGTTTAAGATTATTACCTATCTGAAGTTACTACTTTAAAAATCTACCAATTATTATTTAATTATGCAAAATTCAATATTTAGAAGTTACCAATTTACAAAATACAAGTTTAGATATTTAAAGTAGTAACTTTAGATAAGCGACAACTTCAAGCATGTTGTGTATCAAATTAAATTTGTTAGATCAAAATTTAGATTCTTGTACATTAAAGTTAGGGCAAAGCTTATAGTAAGGTAAAAATTAAAGATTGGTAGATTATAATTATTTTAATCTGATATTAATATCAATTTAATACACAACAAGCATAATAAAAAACTACTAACTTGCATAAAATATGTATTATTTTAGATCATAATCATACTTGGCCCAAGTTCGATTAAGATAAAAACAAGTTTAAATTAATTTTATTGAGATGGAATATTATCACTAAATGATTAAGATTGATAAATAAATTATTATGATAATTTGAACCTTAAAAAAGAACCAAAGTACAAATCCATATATTGATAAATTGCTTAATTAGTACAAAGCAATCTTAAAAATATTGTCAATTTATCAACTTAATAACAAGAAGCTGCTAAAGTGCTAATTGAATTCTGTATATGAAATTGAACACATACTGTATATTATTTTTTACATATCTTGCAAACAAATTAGTTTATTACAATTGAGATATTATTGTTATCAAATTATTTGTATCATAGTGTATATATATTATGGTTTATTTATCACAATTATTTCTGACGATCACTTGGTTCAAATTTTTCTGAAAAAACTTTTTAACAAAAACAGTAAAAACCAATCTTCTAGCTTATAAGTCGAAGAAAGAAGAGACTATAAGACAACACCTGTTATTTAGAGGCAGTTCTCATACGCTACCTGCCGACAGTTTCAGAGTTTATCACTTACTGCATACCCAGCGCTTGTCATTTAGAAGTAGTTCTTATATGCTACCTGCCAACAAGTTCAGAGTTTATTACTCACTAACAAAATTCGAGTAGTGCACTGTCTAGGTAGAAGGCTGTTTTTGTTTTAGTAACTCACTCTCTTTTAAATAATACTAAGAGGTTTCTCTTTCATTTTCGTTTTTTGCCATTCTCACCAAAATTTTTGACAAAAAGTGGGCTTTTTGGCTTACTCCCTCCAAAAAAATCGGCATTGTTTACATCTACCAAATCAGGACATACTCAGTAGAAGGCAACCACGTGTTTTGTTGTTTTGCGAATACAGTGCTACGGTATGGGGAAGAGATCTTTACCCCTATTTAGAAAATATCCGAGTCAAGTTGGTGCCCAGAACGAGTTCCAAAGCTAAACCGAAGGTTTATAATCGAGATATAGTAATTAGTTGCAATTATTATATAATTTTTACCCTTATGCCTAGTATGGGCTATAATAGTGTGTCATGGTTATCTTTCTTTTTTTTTGCTTTTTTCATCTTTGTTTATTTATATTAGACTATTTTAGAATTTGTTGAAAAGTTTTTTTTTTTCCCACTATGAGGTGTTTTTTTTTCTAAAATGTTTATGTCTTTTATAAACATGGCTTTATTTTTTTACTTTTATGTATGAATAAGGGTTTTAATTTTGTTGTCAGGCTTAGGTGGAAGAAGTCTGAAAGAAGGGAGAGGTGGTTATGACAAGTAGCAAGGTCCACTGTTGAGAGCCAGGTCATATCTAATTTCAGGAGGGGTCCAGAAAGAGGGAAATCTTGCTATAGCAAGTCGAATATAGGTGCCAAGTTAGTAACCAGGTTAGTCTTAACTTGTAATTTAGGTAACAATATGGGCTACAGCGCTTGTCATTTAGAGATAGTTCTCATATGCTATCTGCCAACAAGTTTAGAGTTTATCACTTACCTTTTAAAATGCCTAGTTGTAAAATTATATATTCTAGAGGAATTGTACAAAGCCTAATAAAGCTAAAGCATGACTGCCGAATTATAAAAAAAAAAAAAAAAAAACTATGATGTATAACATATATAGTTTATAATAAATTAGTTGATTTCTAGAAGCCCTTTTACTCATACATCTTGGAAATTGCCTCTAAAACTCTACTCTTCTTGATCTACTGCTAGCATATACCAGCTATTTGGCTTAAATTATAGCTACTAGTATGCTTCTACCAATGCTTAAAGATTTATATTTTTAGTAATTAATTAGTATCTATATCTTTCTTTTTTTTTATATATTAGAATTGCCAGAAAATGGCTGTCTTTATTAAAAGTTAATAATATTATATCTGTATTACAAATTTTACATTTGCTACATTTATAAATCCTTTCTACAAGTTTAACTGTTAACCCTCGTGCTGCTGTATATTACTACCAAACTACCTAGATTAAATAACTACCAATTATTTTTCTTGTTAAATATACCTTAAGCACAGTTATCTACTATATTAGTACCATGTCTAAGGGGAGTGCTATTTATCATTTGATTTTTTGCTACTAAGTAGCTACCCCCTTACTCCCCATCTGATTATAAATACTACATTTTGATTGGCTAAAAAATTTTAAAAATTTTTAAATTTTGATATTAAATACTAGATAACTTTTGATCCAACAGTCTGTTTTGAATAATTTTATTACCAAATGTCTATCTTATTAAAATAATTCTAACAAGCCCAAAATCATCAAAATCCAATCACAGGATTCTGAGATCGGAATAGATTTGTATTACTTTATATATATAGTACTACAGTATATAGTCTAACCTTCTTATAATCACGCTTCTTGAAATAAAGATTTGTGTAATTGTAAAGAGAATTTTTACTAAGATGTGCTTATAAAAAATTTTTTTTTCTATATGTTTATAATAGTTGGTTTTAAAACAAATATGCTTATAAAGAAAATTTTTTATATGATGTACTTATATAGAGGGTAACTATAAGAAGGTTTGACTATATATATATAAATATATATATAATAATACAAATCTATTCTGATCTCAAAAACTCTCCCTGACAATCACTTGTATCAAAATTTTAGCTAACAGAAAAATACAACCTTTGTTGGAGAGACGTGGCCTTATGTTGTAGTTTGTCTAGAGGTCAACTATCTTGTGGGGGACTCCTCTAAAAAGATATTCGGCATGCAAGCCAAGAGCATTATTATACAAGATAACTGGCAGGTGGTGCTTTTGTATAAAAAATCTTGGTGAAGAGAGAAAGTCTCAAAGTAGGCTTCTACTTCGTCAACAAAGCACTAGGGCTATTACTTCAAAGAAGAATACAGGGGAAACAACAAAAGTTCTGGACTTCCAACACTCTCTTTAGAAATTTTAAAAGTACTTGTTACCAATACCCTCTTCCATATTTATGTGGTTTTGGATGTTTTTTAGGAATTTCGGCCAAAAAGTGGGAAAACTGTCATACCCCCTCCAAAAGATCAGCAGTGTTTACTCCTTCCAAATTAGAACGTGTCTACCGAAATGGAACCTCTCACAAGCTTATTTGGATTCTGCTTTCCCAAATAAACAATGACGGCAGTACTGTTTACAGTATAGGGGAATGGAGAGATCACATATAGAAATTTCTTACAGTTAGACATTTTTTTTCTTTTCTTTTTTACTTCTTTTAATATATATAGTGTTAGGTTAGATTTTTTTTCTATGCAACATTATATAATTTCTGTAGCCTGGCACAGCCAAAAATAGTGTCATTATGGTCGTCTTCTTTGCAGCCTTTTTCTCTTTTTCTCTATTTTTTCTTTTGTATTAGTTTAGATTTCCCCCTTTTTTTTGTATTTTCTTTTATTTTCTTAAATTTCTCGTTGTTCTTGCAGTAGAATTTTTCTATCTAGGAGGCTAGGAGAAGAAGGTTGGGAAAGAAGGCGATCATGATGGGCTAGTGAACCAGAGCAAGTTAGCTTGATGTAGATTGAACCAAACTGGGGAGATTAAATCATCTTTGGCAGGTTACACACAAGTGTATAAGTACTTAGGTACTCTATATAGATAACCGGGTGAGTCATATTCCAGTAATAAGATGTAATATAAAAATCCTTTGGAATGCTGTATATGATTAATAAAAGCAGGGCATATGGCATGATCATCAAAAAAAAAAAAAAAATCTATTCTGATTTCGGGATCCTATAATTGGATTTCAATAATTTTGGGTTTGTTAGAATTGTTTTATTGAAACAGATATTTTGGTAATAAAATTATCCAAAACGGACTGCTAAACCAAAAGTTATTTAATATTTAATATCAAAATTTTTATAATTTTAATAATTTTAACTAATTAAAAGCTATTATTATATTAGGACCTGATATTTTTCTGACCCTCCTACCTTAAAAATCAGGTGATAAATAGCACTTCCCTAATGGCAGAGCATAGTAGAACCCCTAATTCCTTCTATGTTCTACACATTTCCAAATTAGGTTGTCAAAAATATTTTTACTTCCTGCTCTTGATGGGTTCACATAACTCTAGTACCCAAGTTCAGACTTTCTTCTTCCTGGATTCTTTACTGGTTTATCTCTTACTTTTAGCTATCAACTCAGAAGAGTTAGTTTGCTCAGGCTTTAGATATCTTATAGTCTCTCTCCTATTAGTACATACTTCCGAAGCATATGTTCTTTTTTTCTGATGTATCTTACCTAGCAGTTCGACTAGTATATTTTCTCACTTAAGAACCTGATTGCTTGATTCTCTAGTCTTAGTTTTTGGTTTCAAATTTGGTTTTTCTGTAGCACTATTAAAAATTGTGCTACCTCCCAACTTGGAACTTTCTAAATAGATTTCTAGTTATGCCAGTTCTTTAGATTTATTGCACCAAAGCTCTCATTTCTAGATAGTGTAATCAAAGTTACAAATTTAATTCTAGATCCAACTGATAAGCATAGCCATCAACTGAAATACAAGCCTATTTTTCAAATATTGTTATCTATAGGATTTAAACTCTAGACCTGCCACTTGAAGAGAGTGATGACTAGACTACTACACTAAGTTATCGCACCTCGAATACCTTTTTTTTCTTCTTAACTCTATCAACTATTGACTCTGTATTCTTTTTGTTAATAATTACTTATTTGTATTATTTTTGATTCTTAGACAACTTCTTTGCCTTCAATTGTATATATATCATATTCTCTTCTGGCACCTTATACATATTTGCTATCTCTTTACTTTCTATACAACTAATAATATTCTCCTCAATTGCTTTAAACTACTTTGCTTTTCGTCCTTTTAGTAACTTTGTTCTTAATATATAAAGCTTGTTCCATGTTATTATCTCTGTATTAGTTATATCAATTAATTGATTCATATAAAACAAGTTAAAACTTCTAATACTACTACAGTAAACACTATGAATTTCTTTGCCTATCACTTCAGCTAATGTTGGTCCTGTATTGAATACTTGCTACTTCTTAGTATTTATATAAACTGATACTTCTAACTCATTTACTTTGACTAAAATTAACCCTGCCAAGTTATTCTTTTAAACATTTCTTAAATAACAGTTTTGTAACACTTGTCAACTTTTTTTTACTAGCCTAGCTAATATATAACTCTTATTCAATTTTATTTATATTATCTTTTCTATCTAATCTAACTTGTTAAGCCTATTTTGCAAGTATACCAACTATCTGCTAAAGATTTCATATTTCAAAAACTTGTATATACCCAACTCTTAATGTGCTATTATATAATTGCCTGCTATTACTAGCAATTCTATTTTGTTTTTAATTGATTTTATTACTAGTTGGTATATTCTATCTATGCTTGCTTAAGCTATTCTCATTGCCTGTAACATATATGCTAATTTTAGCACTATATACATATTATTTATATAAATTAGCTAGCTAATAAACAGGCTCTTATACCTCAGTATCTTTACAAAATATTCTATAATACTCTTCATTTTTTTAACTACTAGGCTTTCTCATGAATCTGCATTTATCCAAATCTCAGTAGCTGTGTTAATAATTTTTTCTTTTTAGCTTGTAGCTATTTATCTCTATCTTCCTTTTGCTCTTTTCCAAATTTATATTTACTACTATAAGTTTGAACTTCGCACTATTTATTTATATATTATTAAACTTAAAGAATCTCTGTGCTATTTTAATTATTTGTTTAACTCATTTAGCAATCTAAGTTGTATCATTAGCAAAAGCTACTGCTGCTTGCCTTATCGTATTAATCTTTATACTATTCATCTGCAAATCTACTATCTGGCTTGAGCTAATTCTGTACTTGAGTTTCTTATTGTTTTGAATTTTTTTCAATAACAGATTGTAAAATATCCACTATACTAACAGCAAAATCATCTCTTCTTGCTTAATACTATTACTATCTCAAACTTGTCTGTTAGGCCAAACTTAGTAATTATTTTGACTCTTCTTTTATTAAATAGTTCGATAATGAAACTAATTATCTTGGGCATAGCTTGACTCTATATAATACAGCGTAAAGTGTTTTTAATAGTACCAAGTTATATATCTTCTTCATGTCTCAGAGTATTAACTACAGCTCTTTTTTATTTTTATGAGCATTCTCAACTATTATTTAAACTAGATTAATTACCTTTTTGTCAAACACTCTAACAAACCTGCATAATTAAGATTATGTAATATCTTATTTTCTACAAAAACCTTAGCAATTCACTTTGTTACTAACCAAGTAGTATACTTTTTAAATATTTCTAACAAGACAATTGGCCTAATACAGGTTTTGTATACTAATTTTGGATATTACAGCAATCAAATTAGAACATTATAGTAATCAAATTTGGATATTATAGCAATCAAATTTGAATATTACAGCAATCAAATTCGAATATAGTAGCAATCAAATTTAGACATTTTAGCAATCAAATTCGGACATCTTAGCAATCAGATTTAGACAGCAATATCTTGTTATCTAGTGATCCAAAACACACGATGTTGGTAATATTCAACTCCTCTTAACAAGATGAGTTATATGGTATCAATATCGTATGATTTTAATTACCAGATCATGAAATATCACTATCTAAATTTGATTGCTAAAATGTCCGAATTTGATTGCTAGAATGTCTAAATTTGATTGCTACTATGTCTGAATTTAATTGCTGTAATGTTGCTATAATGTTCAAATTTGATTGCTGTAATGTCCAAAATTGGTATACAAAACCTGTATTGTGTAATTGAAACTCCTAGTTTTTATCTTTTGGAATTGGGTATATTTGTACTAGCTTTTATTTATTTGGAATGCTACTCTTTGTTAAGTATAAACTTGCAAATTTTCTAAAAATTTCATGAACTTCAATACTCACATTCTTAATTAGTATATACCCAATTCTAGTAACCCCAGGTGCAGTTTTATTCTTGGTGATTTCTTTTTTAAGCTTGGTGTACTACTTCTTTTTTACCTTCTCAAGTGGTATATAAAACTCTTCAAGTACTTTTCTGTTCTCTGTAACCTCTTTTTCTTTGAACTACCTTTGAAAATAAGCTGCTATCTTTGAGAAAACTTTATTTGTTTCATTATATAGCATTCACTTTTTATTTTCTTTCTCTAATACTCAATTAATTCTAATCTTCCTAAATGGTTTATTGAGGATGCTTGTGTTATACAAATTTTATTAGTAAGAAAAAAATTTTTATATATAGTATAAAATTTGATATTGCACTTAAATTTTTTTATTATAAAGAAGATATTTAATTAAAAATCATAAAGCAAAACCTTATTTTATTAATATTATAAAAAAAAACTAAATTTTAATTTTTATATACTAATATTTTTTAATTTATAAACTTCTTTTTTTTTAATTTACTAGATTTTTAAACTAGTTAGTTTAAAAAATTAGATCTGCTAAACTTTTAGTTTATATAGTAGGTACTCTACTCTTAGTATATATCCTTTTCTTCGACTTATACTCTAGTAGCCAGATTGGTAAATCTTTTTTTTAAGATTTATTATATTTAAATTTTTAGTTTTAGTATAATACTGTTAAAAATCTATACTACTTTTTATTCTTGTCAAATAAGTTTTAACTCTTAATAGTTTTCTTTTAGTTTAAACACAAAGTATCTTTCTTTATATCAAATAAAAAAGCATTCTATTCAATATTTAGCATATTTTCAATGTAAAGAAGTTTTATTATTAATATAACTTTCAGAAAGACATTGTTCTTTTTTTAAAGCAATATTTTGAGCATCAATTTACGACTCATTTTTAAAGAAAACTATGTATTATCTAATATAATATTTAAAATCATTAAACCATTGAGGAGGTAGTGCTGATTGAATTTAAAAACTATCCCTTAAACGGTTTTGCAGGCAAATTTGTCTGCAATTTCTAAATTTAGATATAAATCAGTTTGTATTTTTTTATAAAAATCGCCCAATCACATTTTTGCATTAAATAAACATTGATCAACGTTCATTAAACATATCTGGATCAATTACAAACCTTACCATTATTTCGAAAAGGGTGAAACTAACTGATTAAAGAATTTCTTTGATTTTTTCTCATGTAAGGTATTTTAGCTAAATTTTGAATTTTTTTTTTAAAAAAAAAATTTATTTACTACAAATTTTTTTGCAATGAAAACTACAATTCTAAATGAACAGGATGATAACAACATGTATATTGTAGAATTATCACGTAGTGTCCATGAATGTTATGAACAAAGTGACTCTGAAGATAATGAAAATTATAATGTTCAATATGAAAACACTCAAGATGAAATTTAAGATAATAGAGATAGTTATAATTACATTCAAGAGCGTGGTTCTGGTAATGGTTGTGGCTGTGGTAGTAGTCGTAGCCGTGGTCATGGCCGTGGCCATGGTCATAGTCAAATTATGAACCTGTACGACTTCCTTCTTCTCCTTCTTTTAATACATTTCAATATTCAAGACCCACACATGGGTTTATTTTAAATATACCTACTATATATGAATCTTCTTTATCTTCACCGTATTCAATTTTTAGTATTTTTTTTTCTTATGAACAAATAAATACAATAGTGCAAAATACCAACAAATATGCTTTTTTTAAAGGTGCTGGCGAAGGATGTAAATAGGTAAAATTAACAGTAGGAGAATTTAAAATTTGGTTAGCAATATTGATATATGCTAGTATTTTAAATTTCCTAGTATTAGAGACTATTAGATTAAGAATAATAGGTATCCAGAAGATAAGATAACAAATTTTATGACTGTACTTCATTTTGAACAAGTATGTTTTTAAAATAAATATTTTACTATATTGATTTACTGTATCAAATTTATTTACAGTGAATTATTTAAAATTTTTTTTTAAAAAATACAGATTAAACGTTTTATACATATCTCAGACTGTACTACACTACCTTTATATTGGTATTCTAAATTAGACCCATTGGCAAGCCATATTCAAACAATATCTAAATCAATCTGTATTTCATCGTCTAATATGTCAATCGATGAAATGATTGCGAGATTTTTGGGCCGAAGTATACATACGGTTAGAATTAAAAACAAACCTATACCAGAAGGTTACAAGATTCTCTCTTTATGTGATGCAGGTTATACGTATACCTTTATGTTTACTTCACGAATTCAAAGTCATCCCGAAGTAATACAAATTTCAAATTTTAATAAAGTCAGAAACGATATTTATCATCTTGTTTTACAATTACCTTTAAATAAATCGTTTAATATATATATGAATAATTTTTTTTTATCTATTAATCTCTTTCGCCATTTGCGCAATAATAATTTTGGAGCTTGTGGAACAGTTAGAAAAAATAGTGCAAAATTCCCTAAAATACTTAAAGTAGATAAAAAGTTAGATTGAGATACATTATCTGGTATAGTAGTTGATAGTGTTCTTGCTATTTTGTGGATGGACAATGGTCCAGTAACTATGCTAACCACCATTCATGAAATTGCTGGAAATGAAAATAGAGTTGAAAGGGTTCGACATCACCCCTGTGAAACAAGTACAAATGCCACAAAAGTACGTATGATTTTTGGGGCTGCGAGTAAAAAAGCTTTGCCAATTCCTCGTGTGATTGATGATTATAACCATCACATGAGTGGAGTAGATATAGCTGACCAACTTCGCGGATATTATGGTGTCCAATTACCAGTAAGAAGAACTTGGATACCCTTGTTTTTTTGGTTACTGGATACCTCTATTGTCAATTCTTACTTAATTTTTAAAAAAAGTGGTAAAAATATTAATCATAAGAATTTTCGAATTCATCTAATATGGGAATTGATTAATGCAGGTATGGAAGAGAATGATCAAACAAAAAAACCAAGTACGCGAAGTCAGGTGGAAGAATTAACACATCAATTTGAAAATATTGGTGCTAATCTTCCAACAACGCAGTATGTAACAAGTAATTTTGAACTTTCATTATTAAGGCTATCTCCAGATGGATATTTACCTGAATGGAGAAAGGATAGAAATAGCTGCATATGGTGCAGATATTTAGCAAAAAAAAATCAAACTGACAAAAAAAAAAATACTAAAAAAAATTCTAACAAGAATCCGCCACAGTCGCAGATTTATTGCGTGAAATGTAATGTGGCCTTATGTTGTAGTAAAGGTAGAAGTGACTGTTTTAAAAACTACCATATTCGAGAAGAAGAAAATTAGAAAATTTTGATATTTCTTATTTCTTTACATTTATTAGATACGTCTTAAAAAAAAAAAAAAAAAAAAAAAAAAAAGGATATATATATCGTCTACGTATTCCTATGATTCCTATGCGGAGGCAAAATTGTGTTACCGAATTGTAAAAATGAAGTCATAGGAACTTTTTTCATATTAAATTTTACATTTCTTATTATGATTTCTTATTGTTATAGTCGAAGCGTAATGAGAGAATTAAAAATAAATAAAAAATTTTGAGAAATCGGAAATTTTATTAAAAATAGTCGATTTTCAAAAATCCATATATTTAGATAATTTTTATAATGGCACGAAAATTAAAGTTTGAACTATTTGCAAAGTCAATCAATTACTTGTAAAAATTTTATTGCACGAAACTTAAAATTTCCAAAATTTTATATATAACGAAGCAAAAGAAAAAATTGCAGGCAAATTTGCCTGGAATAGCTTACCGTTTAAGGGATACCATATTAATTAGCTGTAATTCCTAATGCTAACCCTAAAATATAACACTGGTATGGCCCGTATAATGCGAATCTGCTCATCTGTACTATGCTGATCTGCGCAAGATATTTGATTTTTTTATTTTATTTCATAATGACAAATTTTTATTTACCATTTATATTCCACTCAAAATTATAATAAGAGCGTTATAATTAAAATAAGACAAAAGTTATTCCTGAATGTTGATAAATTTAAATTGATTGCTATCGGTTAGCAATTTTTTCTCACGCGTTGTTCTGCAGCTTTGCTCATTCATAAGAAATAAAAAATATTTATTTACATAGAATTTTGCACATAGTACAAAAAGAAATTTGATCTAATGAATTATTTTATTAAAAATGTTTACATTTTGATAAAACGTATGATAAATTATTAATAATTAAGATTTTCTTTATTAAAAATTTACTTCGCGCGAGATATAACATCATATGATTTAATTTGTGCGAGGATGATGCCGGAACCTCACGCAAGGGCATCTCTAATAAAACCGTAAAAATATTTATCAAACTTTTTGTTTTTTTTTGCCTTTTTAAATTTTTTTTTATTTTTTTTTAAATCTAAAAATGGAATAAGATTAACGTTAATTTGATAATTTATCGGCACTTTAAAATCATAAAATAATTTAATTACATCATCAATGTCGAATTCGATAATGCCATCATCTTCTATATCAACTGTTTCAGTTTCGTTGATTTTAGCTGCAAATGAAGAGTGATCAGAAAATTCAATAAATATAATGCAATCTACGTTACTACAAAAACAAATAATATAATTAACTTACCGTTTTCTGGTAATTCACCATATGCTTTCAAATTTCTTGCTTCATCGGTTGTATATTTTAGAATGACATCGGCTTTGGCATCTTGGTAATCACGGAGAGAAATCAAGATAATATCACCTTGATTAATCCACACCTTTGAAAATGAACCAAATAGATTATAAAGATGTATCAATTTAATTTCAGGTGCCATTTGCGAAAATTACAAAGAATATTATTTACCTTTTTCCGTAGTTTACCACGAATATGTGCCAACCTTTTTTCACCGTCAAAGCATTGAGCTTCTAAACGACCATTTCCAAGCATTTTTACTACTTGCGCATATTCTATTAACGGAAATAAATTAAATAGAAATTGCGTAAGAAAAATAATTTAGAAAGCGCCGTGGTATTAACAACATAAGCTTTCTACCTTGCCCATCCTCTTTGAAGATCAGTTCTCTTTTCTCAGATTCGTTCTCATTCTTTCCTCTTCGTCTGTTTTTACCTCCCTGAAAATTAGATCAGTAAGTATTAGTTGATTTACGTGTGTGTATATTATATTCGTAAAAAAAAAAAAAAACCCAGATAAAACGGATTTTTACCTTTCCTTTGTTTTTAGGCATATTGAAAGTGAAATTACTTTAAACCAACCTTCAAGACTTTGGTAGTGGTAAGCGGTTAAGATAATGAAAAATATCAATACCGAATAACCAACTTTTTTTTCAACTGTGCTCTGTACCACTAAATACGCCCTTTTTATAAGGTTTTATCGGAGTCTATTCGGAGAATGATGTCACATTGATATCAAGATATGAGCGCTGCGGTATGAATTATTTTCTATCTAGAAGCTCTTGAATTCTTGGCAACAAAAGTTGATCACTTTAAGGACATGATTATGCTCTTTTTATTGTCCGGACTATTAGTAAACAACTTTTAAATCGAGAGTATTTAGAAATTTTAAAATTTTACAAGTGCTCGATAATATCCGATATACTGATCGACTAGTCATCGTTAGTTAGCATTGGTTAAACTTTAATCCAGTTCAGTTCGGTCCTAAGACCACCATTCAGTTCGATTATAAGTTTACCGGATTGTATGTTTTGGTCATTCTGTTCGGTAAAAAATGAGCTCTTATCGTGTATAGAATTAAACACGCATGGTGTTGGCTTTAGTGTCCAAAAATCTGCGGTGGCTGTGCAAAGAGCGAATTCGCAGAATTTCTCTAGCAAATGATTAGTAGATAAAATTTACTGTTATAGTTAATGTCTTGATACTTTTACATTATATAGGGCAGTGTTGTCAATTGGACAGTTTTGGTTTTTGGACACTGTGTTCAAAACCTGTCCAAAACCTTGTCCAAAACCAAAACCAAATTTAATTGGTTTTGGACAATTGGTGCTATCTAAAGCAGAGATAAATCATGTGATTAACCACCAATCAAATTATAGAATTTTGACGATTTTCATCAAAGCAAATGAAAAATAAAAAAAACAGCAGCCTAAACCTACCTTGTATAAGCTAATTAAAAATGTTAGAAAGCCAATTTTGCATATATATAATTATTTAAAACCTCTTTTAATCTTATCCTAAAGTGACTCTAACTGATTGACAGTTGATTATATGATTTATCTTCGCTTTAGACATTCTCCAAATATATATAAAAATTAAAAATACTAATTTAATATATATATATTTAAATGTTATATAAATATAAATATAATATATATAATAAATAATAAATATATAATATCTTTTAATTCTGATTCTGATTCTAATCAAATATTAAGTAGGTTGTATAAACTATATAATAATTCAATCAATCTAATCTTTAATATAGTATTTATTAATGTAACTATTTTATTATTAAGTGTTCTCAACTCTAGTTTTGAATAAAATACACTACATATTACTTTTCTTTATCATACTGTATTGATAAATAGTAATTTCAAATTTTAAATTTTTAATTATAAAAAACTTTAAATTGCTTAAAAATATAATATTATTTATTAATAATTTCTTTAAATAGTTTTGGTCAATTTTGAACAATTTAGAACAGTTTTGGACAGTTTTGAACATGTCCAAAACTGTTCAATTAAAATATTCAATTGGACATATTCAATTGACAACACTGATATAGGGTGGTTGAACCTTTTTTTAAAAAGAAAAATGATTACCACAAATGACAGAGTACAATAAAGGAATCATTCTCTACATAACTGATAATAAGAATTATGCTAATGGAATATGTAGTGCTTGTTGGTTATGCCTCATTTCCCCAATAGTCATTCTCTTACAGGATAGTGTTGACACTAGACATATGTCCAATTATTTTTTGGCACCATTGGACATATACTTTGAACATATAGGGTGAGTTAGTAGAACATACCAAAATTTTTCTAAGAAAATTTTTTAAAACTTTGAAAATTTAATAATAAAAAAATTTTTACTAAATGATTTTGTTAAGTTATTTAAGATTTAAAAAATTTTATAAAGTATTTTTACTGTTGTAAAACAGGTTTTTACAATATAAAGTAGTTTAACGTAGTTGATATTTTATAGTTTATATTTTGTAGTTTATTTATATTATTGTTTTATATTTATTAACTTGTATTTTGTATTAGATATTTATTATTATATTTGTATTATATATATTAATATTAGTATTAGTATTTAACAGAGAGTTAAAGCCACTATGGCACATAATATGGCTAAAGCTGTATACAGCCTTCTACTTCCTCAACTATACCTTCAAGTCCCTCAACATGGCCTTCAACACTTTCAACATATCTCTCATCTCCCTCAACTTCCTCAACATGGTCTTCAACTCCCTCAACATGGCCTTCTACTCCTCAACATGGCCTTCTACTCCCTCAAGCACGTCCCTCAACTCTCTCAAGTACAATATTACATTACTTTCAATTCTCTCTTCTATTTTGTAAAAGATATATAAAGAGGGCATTAACCTCTTCTTGTAAAAACAGATCTTAGACAGGTTTATACAGATGTTTATAGCTCTTAGATAGATCTCAATTACTTTTCTCTTATGGAATTAGTCTTATATAATTCTCTCTTGTAATATATAACTCTCTTTAGGATCTCTAAAGAAGATTATCTTCTTATTTTATAATAAATAAAGGTTAAATATACACTATCCAAATACCAAACTGCTTACCTTCTGCTATGAATACTTAATTGTACTCCACATCCACCCTGTATATATTCCAATAGCAAAATCCCTATACTGGGTGACCTTGTTACTATGCTATATGGTTACAAAGAAGGCTATAGCATTGTAACACTACTAACTATCATATTTTTAACTACTACATTATCAAAGTATTTGCAATTCTCTTTACCTAATTCTTGGCAGAAAAACAGCTTACCCTATATGTTTAGTCTATTATATCCACAGCTATTTAATGAAATTTTTTGTTTGAATTCTGCAGATATATAAAATTAAAATAAAAATTTTATCGAGTAGTTGATATATATATATATATTTTTTTACTCTTTAGCAATTCTGCTTTTATTACACAAGAGTTTTTGTATAAAATACAAATAAAGCAATACTATTACTAATATCTTTTCCTATTTACAATAAAGACGTATCTGGTTACTAAAGTACCTAAATGCAATCTGCTACATTAACCATTTACTTACTCTAAAAATTCTCTTTTGCTTAACCTATTTTTTTAGATTATAGTTAGCTATTAATTACTTGTCAAGATTGCAGATCTTTTGAAGAAAGTATGTTAGATTTCTCACTTTTTTGGAAAAAAAAACTCTAAATATAGTGGGGGTAATATAGAGAGAGATAAAAGTATATTATTTCTAAAATTTCAAGAAGTGTATAAAAAAACAAAAAAAAAACTTGTTTATTGTTCTTTTATGTTTTTATTAGTGCTTAGCAAAATTAAACAAAAACTCAATTATTAAGTTTTTGAATCTATTGATTTATAGTATTATGCTTTAATTATAAAATCTATACTTTAAACTTCATATTAGTTACTATAAAGTCTAAAATAAAATTAGATTCCTGTTAGATTTATAATTATATTAAATGAGGTGTGGCTACTTAGTATAGTAGTCTAGTCATCACCCTCTTCAAGTAGCAGGTCTAGAGTTTGAATTCCACTGGTAATGATATTTGAAAATTAGGCTTGCGTATGGTTGACAGCTATGTTTATCGGTTGGATCTAGAACTAAATCTGTAAACTTGGTCACACTATCTCATCACCAAAATTTGCAAGAGGGTTACTATCGATGTTAATCAGTTATTGGATAGTAATCGATATAAATACCCCTGATGATGACTATCGAGTTAGTTAGTAATCGATATATATCGATATATATCAGTTAAAAAAAAATCCGATTAGTAGTGATTAA